TTTTATTTCGCATTTTAGCAGATTCCAACTTCGACCGCATCAAGGATCATTACGCTTAAAATTTGATGGGATACTCTCCGTGATGCCTTTCTTGAGTTTTTGACGACGCATGCGTAATTTGGGAAATGGTGATGAATAGCAGTTTGGAATGTACTAAGAGCAGCGAAAGTAGCACGATATAGTTACACCAAAATATTTGTATTTCGGGCGTTATTTAAATGATAAATGATATCCAATGCCGTAATATTTTTTATGCACAAATCAACGGCCTTTTCGAACTTCAGATGGATTTTCTGCGCGCTTGGTCAATTGTTAATGCCTAAAAAAAAGAAATTAAGTCATATACGGTCAGCTACGGTAGAGATTGCCTTAAACACAATTCAATCACTCCCGCAAAACGGCGTGTTGCAATGCTTGGTTGTATTTTTACTATAGAAAAGGCAACGATAATTGTAGTATTTGGTTTGCCGAGGTGCTTAGGTTGCGTAGGTCAAGTTTTCGTCAAAAAAAGCGATATTGAAGTCCACTTTATTGTAGTCAACGGTGATGTCCATTAGTTTGCAGGCATGGAGTCCTTCTGTCTTTGCTTACTCTTTTTTGCTTTTTTTTTACTCCGCTTCTCGTTTTACAACCACAGCTGGTGGACTCGGTGCTGCCGGGGATACAGCGTATTCGGCGTGTTAATATTTAAAAAAAAGAAAGCAGCGGCCGATTGTTTAGTTGACGTGGTGCTGGAATAACCGCATGTTTGCTTGTTTTCCGAAGCTCTGAAGCAAAGGACCCGAGCTCTTGTGGTGCGCCCATTGCGCGACTCTGGTGGCGCACGGCGGCAAACGTAATTGTGCTCCTTGGCGACTCGAACAATAAAGGCCTGTTCACACATGCAGCGAAGCGCCACAAGCCTAGCGCTGACCTCGCGCTAAGCGCGTGCTGACGGGAGCGTTCACCAGCTGTGTATCGCACCGTCGAAGCTGTTGCTCATGGCAGATGATAGGCAGCTGACAATACCTGAGCAGCGCTTATACATCATATTATATTAAGAAATAGGTCCGAGCGTTAGCTGAAGAAAAGAAAGGATTTCTATGTATATATTTTTTTTTTATCTAGACCTGTCTATTTCATTGGGGCTATAGCAGAAGTCAGCAATACACAGATAAACCAACAATACAACAAATGACAAAAAAATTGCAACAAGATCAAATTAGATAAAAATAAGCATTCCCCCCCCCCTTTTTTCCCTCGCACACAAACACACACAAATAAAGAAAAGAAAACAGATATATAATCGATGGGCCCTGAAAAGGAAGAACTGTGATTGGTGTTACCAGGTCATCGCGAGGCGGCATACGTGCACGAGCTCCTGAGTACGTCCGTCTCGATAAACAAGACCTGCGAGACGAAACCCACGACGGCAAGGAAGAGCGAGGCGGAACCGTCCAAGCAAAAGATAGACCACAACGGTCGTGACGTAAATAATCAGCACTGATAATATTCGGCGCCCCTCTTTCTTTTTGTTTCTCGCCTACACTCTAAAAAAAGCCCGTGAGTCTGCTTTCCCACACAACACTCGGAGAGCCAATCACCGCAACTTACGGAGGCAGCTCAGCGAATGACAATGCCGAAACATATCTTTAGATCACTGTGGTTTAGACCAAGCACAGTGATCTAAAGACATTAAGCAATGCAAGCGTGACGTTTTGCATCGCTTAATGTCAAAACTCAGACTGCGTTTTTTGGTCTAAACGTATGTTTCGGCATTGTCATTCGCTGAGCTGCCTCCGTAAGTTGCGGCGATTGGCTCTCCGAGTGTTGTGCGTGAAAGTATACGCACAAACTTGTTTTAGAGCGTACGGGTATCTACGATTGAGGCCACTTACAGGGGTTAGTACGTCGGTTATAGTCACTCCAGTTATTGTCTCGGTCGCCGAGGCACACGTCCCTCGCGATTGGTGATGTCTCCCAAAGGGTAGCGCGAGCGTCTTCACTTCATTATTCTGGATTTTGTGTCGTCACAGAGCCGATATTTCTGGAGAGATTGTGACCCTGGTCATCTGTGAAATAAATACTGCCGTTATATTTCAATGTATCGATCATGCCGTCATAGCACATGCAGAACTGCGTTTTACAAGGAACGCAGATAACACATACTCCAGTTTCAGGCTCCCACACTGTGTCAGGGGTCGCCACGTCCTCGTTTTGAACCGTTCACTTGTTGTTTTCGAAGCTTTCGCGGCTGGCGAAGTCTTCTCGAAGCATCTTTCAGTCCACTCTGCCTCTGTTCCCTTTCTTTAAGGCGAAAGCCTTATATGCCCCATTACACGAAAAGGTGACGTCGGCCTTGTGCCCGAAAGATGGACATAAAAATACGTCATCAAGCACGTGCCACTGAAGATAAAGCGGACGCGCATCAGAAATAAAACACAATAAAAAACACAGCCACGCAGATGCCTCGTCACAGAAGCCGGGAAGAGGGCGAAGCGCCTCGCGTGCGCAGTGGGGGTGCGTGATATCGCCGCCGGAGCGCCGTCTGCAAAAGGTGCGCTTTGGACTTCATCTGTGCTCGTTGTGTGCTTTCTCTGGTGGACTGTAATGCGACCGCGCGGGACTACAATGCCTTCGCATTCCTACACGTAAGCACTCTTAAGTGTCCTCCTGTGTAATTTTCACCGCAGTTGCGTCGTGCGCCGGCGAAGATCGCGGCGCAGGTATTTGGCAGCCGGCCAACACTGTTCGACCGTCACACGTGCTTCACATTTTAAGGCAAAATCAGAGTTGTCTTCGGTAGAAGTTTTGTATTAAAAGAATTCAACCTGGTTACCTGCAGCTGAAAAAAATGTATGTGGGTGCAGTTGCATTATTGTGGTGACGGAACAGTTTCGAGCGTCAATATTCATGATAATCGAATGATAAAAGGCACGGCTTTATACGTGGTTATAGTGTGACTCACGCTCATTACGCACGTAAGAATTCTGAATTAGCGATTGCAAACGTGCTCTACTGCACTGTTGCATGCTAATCTCTGCGCTATCATTGAGCAAAATGCCTGTCTGCAGGGAGATGCCAAGAGTGGCCTCTCAGTCGTGGCCTGTTGCTTATTTACAACAAGCGCCTCGGAGAACCGGCAGGGATTAATCACCCTTCATAGTTCAATACGTTCAATACTTTCTTTCATAATAAGACAAATGGCCAAAGCTACTGCCTTAGCGAGCCAATTAGAGCGCCGGAACGAGGCACATGACGATGTAGCGTCAGCGAGCCAGACTCCCGTGGGGAGCTGTAACATGCTTCGTTCTGTTCCTGTGATTGAAACACGCTGGCTAAGCGTTCGCCCCTCGAGTCATGTTTCATTACTGTGGTTGTCGAGAGCGGTTATAACGAAGTCAACAGGAATGGGAAACTTCGCTATATCCGCTATTTCGTTATTACTTACTTCGTTATAGCCGGTCTCGACTACCTCCGTTCGCAAAACATCATTCATAATATGAGTCGCCCTTAATAATAAGACAAAAAATCCATGCATTTTCCCAGTTTGTTCCCGAGCAATACGCCAATGTACGGAGAGAAAATGAGGAAGTGGAAATTATTATAGCACGCGGAGCCGCGAGAGCGCGGAGCTGTGGTTAAATGATTAGGGGGTAGACACAAAGCCTTTGTATCTGCTCAATCTTTGAATGTGTTCGAAGTGTGAGCAGAGACAAAGGCAGCCATCTTTACATGTACTCACTAATCATTCCAACCAGAGCTCAGCTTTCCGGGCCACCGCGCGCTCGCATGATCTCCTCTCCCTCAGTTTTTCCCGCATAACTGGCTCTCCAGACTATTGAAGTCCATGTTCACGAGACGCGAATTACCACGCCATAACAAGGCGGATGTACTCATGATTACAGAGAACTAATGAGGTTTTTCCTAATTTCACGGGTTTCTATAACAACTACCGCGGCACAGGCCCCTGCAAACTGAAATGACAAATCTCCGGGTTGAACAATGACACGCGGAATAATGTCACCTTTTGTTTTTGCGGGCAGTAGCGCGTAGCAATAACAAGCTGCTATACTCTATCGGCAACACAGAATACGGAAGAAATTCCGCTCCGCGAGGAGGAAAGTCGGGCACCGCTGTTCGACTACTCCGTCACGGGAGCTCTCCCCGAGGGAGGCCGGTGGGAGGACGCCGACGACGGCTTCCGAGTTTGCTTGAAAGACCCGAGAGATTTCGGGGAGGGACCCGCAAGATCGGACCTATCAGGCCCCGAAAGAACGCCGCCATGCCTCACTTGAAATCGTTCGGGCTCATTGAGTGAACCCCGGAGAGTCGTTTGACCGGCTTGGAGCAAGACAGAGGCTCATGAATACAATGATCCGCTGGGTCATTGTATTCAGAGCCTCGTGCGATGCGAGGCCTGGCTTTCCGTAGCAAGTTCCTGTGTTTAGCCTTAGAAATTGAATCATATATTCATATACGTGCAACTTCAAACAAAAAACTAAGATAGTAAAAAGAAATGGCAGTGACTTTTATTTCATAAGTAAGATAATGATTGAAATGCAGCATTTTAGCAGCGATCGCGTAAATTTGTTTTAAATGCGTTGAACAGACGTTTCGAGGAGTGAAAAAGAACCTATATCTTTATCAGTTTCCTCGCTAAATTTAGCGACGGAACTGACGGTGCGTAGGTCATGTGCAGTGTTGTAGGCGTTACCGAATAAAAGTAACGAAAGACGTTACTCGCTCCTTGCAATAAAAGGAACGCGTTACCAACCTATGTTACCGCAAAATAAAACGAACGTCTTACCTTTACTGTTAAAAAATAACGTAAGTTACTCTAGCGTTACTTTTTTGTATTTATGAATGAACAGGTTTTGCTCATTTGACATTACAGGTATGCATAAGCGCCGTAATTCAAGATATATTATTTACATCCAGAAAACTAAACGTAGTTGCCTTATTTTTTATGGTTCCACCTAAAGAAAACATATATTCACGTCTCATTGAAAGGGGCTCACCAGTGAGGCTCATGTCGAAGGACTCTGCGCCGATCTTCCTTAAGTCCTCGACCGTCCTCCAGGTAAGCGTGAGCAGCCTGTTCTGCGAAATGTCCACGGTCACCAGATTGGGCGCCCCGACGAACATGTTTGCAGACAAGACACGCAGCCGGTTGTGGGAGAGGTACAGGACCGTCAGGTGCGCGAGTCTGTCAAAGGCCACGGGATCCACCTCGGAGATCTCGTTGTACTTGAGGTCGAGTTCGGACAGGAGGGGCATGGCGCCGAAGACCCGGGCGTCTAACCGCCGCAGCTTGTTCCTGAACAAGTCCAGACGCTTCACTTGGGAAAGGCCCTCGAACGTGCGCTCGGTCAAGTTAGTCATCGCGTTGTCACTTAGGTCGAGCTCTTTCAGCTTCGAGAGCCCCGCGAAGGCGAAGTCCTCGATGACCTCGATCTGGTTCCGCTCGAGGAACAGGTAGGTCAGCAGGGGAAGGTGCGTGAAGGAGCGCGTCGTTAAACGCTCGAGTTTGTTGTCTCCCAGTTCGAGTTTCCTCAGCCGTGGTAAGTGGGCGATAGAATCCTTCTGGAGCTGCGTGATCCCGTTGGAATCGAGAGAAAGGACGGCGAGCTTGGAGAGGTTGTAGAAAGAGTGACTCTTCAGAGAGCCCAGCTCGGCCTGCGAGAATTTGAGGCGCTCGAGAAGCGGTTTCCGACGCAGGAACGCACTGGGCACGAAGTCCAGCTTGGACTTCTCTCCGAACGCGGTGAAGGTGACCGCCATGACTGACGGTTGCCTTTCAAGGGACTTGAAGACGGCGTGGTCAGCCGACAACGTCCTGACTACGAAACACGTCACTTCCGTGCCGCCCTCCACGCCGGAGTCCCGCACTTCGTCGCAGCGACAGGACATTGGCTGGTCTGAGGGCTCACACACACTGGGAATCAGCTCTTCTGTGGCTTCCGTCATCGTATGCGTCTGCGCGAGCAGACCCAGAAGGAGGAGTGCCGGAAACCTGTAAAAGCGAACCGGGGTTGCGTCGTCTCAGGATTTGCGAGGAATTGGCGTGACAAACTGGGGGGTTCGTATCATACGTACACACGTTGAAAATATCCCTACTCTCTTCGACACTCTTACCCCCCATTCACACTGGAAGCGGATCCGCGTTCGCGAAGCGGTTGCGAACGCGGTTGTATAAAGATCCAGTGCATTTGCACGCGCATTTGATGTCATCAAATGCGCGTGCAATTGTACTGAATCCTTATACAACCGCGTTCGCAACCGCTTTGCGAACGCGGATCCGCTTCCAGTGTGAATGAGCCCTTAGACCAACCTGAGTGCAAACTGACCCACGATGCATCCAAAACACCAGTCGTCAATGTTTCTTTTTAAACATTTTAGACAGTGGTAACTGCGGGCGCACCACGGCACTCCTGTGGTCATTCAGCTCGGAGTTACAAAAGAACCTCCTCTCATTTTGCCACCGAGGCCAGCCACTGGAGTGTAATACGGATAGCCGTTTTTAATGGTGGAGAAGATTAGAGATATATTTGTGCTTCGTGTGCATCGCGGTACGATATACATGCAGAGGCCTCTGAGAGGGTTCGTCCCTCGACATCACGTGGCAAGTTAACGGCTCACATCTATGGAGGAACTATGCAAATGTCCACCAATAAAGAAGAGGACTATGAAATACAGGTGCAATCACATGCAGAGTTAATGGGGCTGGCTTGGGATTAAAATTCGTTTTTAGAGGTACGCTCACACCCTGCATCTTTTTCACCAAAACATGGTGCGGGTTGCAAAGAATCCATGTTTTAGCACGAGTGTAGTCTCAGCGGCTTAAATGTTTGCCGGGCGGCACTTGGTCCGAAAACCGTCCACTCGAACCCTATTTTCCCTTGATGTCTCTACTTGGCATTCCCGGAGAGTCAGAAACATTGCAACTGTTCAGCTATAGTACCAAGAGGACAGCCATCTTCGGAGTTTCTTCCAGAAAAAGACCGCAATCAGTGTGATGGCCAACTGCATCGAATGTGAAAGCTAATTTGAAAGTCCAAGGCAACAACCGACGTGTTTTATGGCCTATATTTCCACCGTCTTGCCTAATTAGATGGGGAAACTGCAGCGACATTCTGGCGCCTCCGGAGTGTTATGTTGGCTGTGCATGGTCTCGTCCGAAAATAATCACGGTGATTGCAACCTCACTCCGCCTACTGTCAACTCTATGTCGTAGAAAGGTTCACTTTCATGAGGAGATATCATGCTTGAGTCACCGTTCGGTTTGTGTAACATACCGGTGTTCTTTTCGGAACTTGCGGCTTTTGTGGTTGCAGGCTGGCGAAAGGTATTAACCTAATTGGTGCTCAGAGGATTTATCAAGAGACTGTTCGCTTGTTCCATCCTTACTAAAACCCTGTTATTAAGGTTAAGGTTTCGTACTAAATTATTCGTGTTCTGTCCTTTCCGACGACCCACTTTTCCTAAAATCTCGAACAAATTAGGCAGCCCCTTATAATTTGCAATTAGCGAGTCATTTCCACATAAAATGGTAACTACGGAGCAAGGATTGGAGTGAAGGACACAGCGAGGATTCATTGGAAGAGTGCAAATGTTACTTTACTCTTCATGCCAATAAGCTTTACTAAAAACATTTATCTGGTTATACATAAAGGGTGTTATGTTCACGCAGTGAAGCAGCAGTTGAAACTTCCATAGCTAAAACAGATCTGAATATAGTTTAGCAAATAACACCGGCCGCTCTGAAGGGTGCTGTAATATGGTATATGAAAGGTTTTCAAAGAATTTCTACCCGCAGAGATCTCAGAGAGGAAAACAATCTAACCTAGAGAGGAAAGGCGGCAAATGACAAAGTCAGAAAAATGTATTGGCCGAAATCTTAATTAATCTACGTAACACAGGGCACGTGATCCTACGAACTTCCAGGAGTTCGTGACTCAGTTTCGCGGCGTATGTGGACTTGGCATATGAGTCAAAACGTATTTCCGGCATTCGCATTCTCAGAGCTTCCTCCATAAATATTTTGGGAACAACTACTTGTAACACCCCAGAGGCAATGAAGAGTGCAAGGTGCGAGTTCATGGGCTACCATATCTGGATTTTCTTAAATACACATTTTATAAACTCCAAATGAAGCGTCTCGTGAAAGTTTCATCCTAATAACTTGAGCGGAATTGACAAAGGCAAGTACTTTCAATTACCCAACTACACATCAAGTTGCGCGAATTATAAAAGAAAAAACGGCTCACGCCAATTTTTTTTCGCATCGGCTGCAAATTTCCAACTTTTTTTTTTATTGCACCATTCTTACTGAAAGGCGTGACCTGAGTATATTTTCTTATAAACAAAAAGATACTATATTTATTCCTTTCAAAAATGATTTTGATTATCTCCTTTTCTCGTTCTTAACGTGTGTGTTTTTTTTTTTCGTAAATAAATAAACGATAACATTTTTAAAGAAACCACCTCTAGAAGAAAAATTCACATAAAGTACAAAAACCGAAACACCAAGTCGCAAAAATTGTGAAAAAAATATAAATACAGTAAACGCTGTCAAAATAAATAAATGATGTCTATTCTTCGGGGTTGACATTCTGCAAGAGGGACGGTTGGGGAGGGATGCGTGCGTCATCGCTCTCCAACCGTTAAAGGGAAGTGGGGCGGCAGCGGTGATACTTTTTTTTATCTTTAAGCCAGTGAAGGACGTCGAATTGCGCTACAGACTGCGATATGTAGCGCTTAGCGCATGTGACCGGAATTATCCCGAAACCACAATTTGTCTCCCCTTTGTCAGCGGGTTTGAAGCGCCTGGACGAAAACGGTCGAGCCGTGCGCCTCGCTATTTTTAGGATGTGGTCCTCTCCGAAAGATTTATGGGTCGAGGATGAGTCAGTTGCGCTGTAATGAGGTTATGCGAAAAAAAATCTATGCAAGGGGGAAAGCCTGCGCCACCCGCGCCGGATCGAGCCACCAAGCTTGGGAGGGACAAAGCAACCTCTCGCGTGAAAATTGACGTACCGCTCATCCGCTTCTTCATCTCTTAGATCGGTGTCAGTAGCTTGTGTACCGATTATTCGCCCTTTCTAGCAATACCAGTCACCACCTCGCTACTTTCGGCAGAACTACTCCCAAGGGCTGTCGAGAATGACGTTTCTTTCCAACGGACTTTCCGTCTGCTAGTTTCTGCAGGATAAAGAAATGAACCTCGGGGACAACTACAAACACTCCCAGAGGGTGCAATGTAAAACATGCCACAAAGTTCGTGGAGTGCGAAGAGAGAAAGGTCTATTCAATTCCACTAGCCTGCAGCAGTCAGTACATCGGACAAACTGGGAGATGCGTCAACCATCGACTCAGAGAACACAACTTGGAAGCATCAAAGGCTTCAGATGAGCCTTTTAACCCAATCGTCGTTCACAGCCGCACGCGCGTGCGGTGACTGTACTCTTTATTTCTCTGATACCAGAATACTGGGCGGGCACACTAACAGATTTGGGAATGAAATCATTAAATCATTGACCATAGAGACTCTCAATAATATTTCTTTACCTTCATTATCCGTAACAAAGACAGAGGTCGGATTCTTAACAGCAGATATCATCATTTATTATTCCTTGAAGGCCCAGGGGGCATTATACATATTGAACATATTAATACATGACAATATTACTGGCACCTCGTCGTGAGCCTAGTGCTTTTTAAACTGTTAGATGTATAGCCATTTCACCTTGGGACTGTCAACATTATTTCTGCACCTTCATTATCACCGACAATGATAGAAGTTGAATTCCTTGCACCAGAGATAACTAGATAACTTATAGCTCATCGTGACGCCAACGCATTTTAAACTTTTTTTATTTATAGTAAACTATTTTTTGTTTTAAAACAATTTTCTCCTTTCCTTTTTTGAAAATGTTGGAACCTTTGGGAGGGGAGGGGGGGTTATATTTTGTGCCATTTATTTGTTGTTGCTCAATGAAAGAAGTCCTGCTTCCGTCCCAGTCCTAGATGCTTTAGCCTTTCAAGTATTCGTGAGCATCCTGTCACCTTTGATTTGAAGGAATTGCAACGCGATGGTGAGGGCCTGTTTGACACTCTAGTCCAAGTGGCAACATTTATTGCTCGTCAATCATTCTTCAGCCGGGGTCACACTGCTTATACCTCGTAAGAAATACAGACTGCATGCAGATTCGAACGCGACTCACCGCGAGATCTGTGCTTTGAATGCAGCATGCCAATCAGTTCAATAAGGAAACTTGGGCACGCGGCATTCGAACCACGAATACTGCGGCGACTCGTGTTTGCAGACTGTCTCTTGTACAGTGTATGAGAAGTGCAAACCCAGCTTCATTCGCGGTGAGAAGCTCGCGAGGGACGCTTCTGCTTTCCTCACTATGGGTAGTGCAACGTGCTACCCACGCGGCTATGTTTTAATTTTTATACCGCGTAGAAGTACAGCATTGCACCTGCTTGCACCAGCAGAGGAAGTTGAAGTATCCTCACTCTGGGTTGTGGAAAAATTCCACCAGGTGGCGATACCCAAACTTGTCGCCGCGAATAGTCGCTGTATAGTCACTGAAAGCTGAAGAATCGCAAGGCGTGGTGAGTCGTGGGCATCTTCTTATCGTCCCGAGTGCAGTCAGGTTCAGGCTATAACCATCAAAGCGCGTGAACATATTAAGTCCCTCTAGGCGTTTCTCAAGCTGTCCCTGATTGGACTAGCTTAAAGAAAAGCAAGGTTGACTCGTTATCTTCACCGGTTTCGTGATAAGTACTTCGGTGTTCTTATTGCCGAATGCCGCAATAGTGTTCGTTGCGGACCGATAATAAAAATCTCAGAACTTACACGCCCTGCGTACCTTAAAATGTTAGTAACTTTGGGAAAATTAAAAAAAAACGCCGGTGTTGTGATTTTTTTTTTAACGTTATCATTGGTGTAGATTACCCACCGTCTTTCACATTGACTGAACTGACTGAAAACAGCTAACCATCTGA